TTTTTTTTTTTTTTTTTTTTTTTTTTGGTAAATTAACTTTGCAGATCACTTCTGAACTTAGGGAAACTTGCTCAAGCTACCAAACAAAATACACACAGAGCCTGAATGTTTATCTTTATTTGCTAACTGTTATTAACTGGACATTTTGACATGAGAAAAGCTGAATCTGCATCCATCCATTTGTAGGCAGTGGTAAAAAGAATTCTTTTGAAGTAGCTGTTTTTTCTCTAAAACCCGAGTTCAGGAATGTATTTAGCATGTGCTTAGCTCTAAACAGATCAATGTTTGGAAAGAACCAAATGCTTACATATTTGCAAAAAGCAGATCTAAAAAGTACCTCTCAAACTCTGCTGTCCTCTTAATTAGTAATTATTCCTCCAGAATCTCCTAGATTGGTTGAAGTATCCAACTAAGTAAGCTGAAACCCTTTACTGCAGGATCACTCCCATGTCCAGTGACATAAAATACTACAGAAGAGTTGTGAACATCTATCTTTCGAATACTAATGCGACTTGAGTATTCATTTAAGAAACACTGCTTCCAGCACTCCTGAGAAAGTTGACATGTTTTTGGCTTTTTATCTGTAGCACGTTCTAATACGTAGTATTAAGTGGCCTCATTAAACATTCTAAAATACATTAAAAGAGCACACAAGCACACAGAATACACATACAAAGCTACAAGTCCTCCAGAGGATATACTAGACAAGTGATTTTTAACAAGCTATGGAGGATTTAATGCCTAAACTATCAGCATAGATTCATTCCAGGCTCATAATGTTTTAATAATAAAATATCTTTAGTGACTAATAATAAACTATCACTGGTCATTACCACAATTGCCTATTCAACATTAGTCATTTACCTCTAACTTGTTATTTTTACCCAGGTACTGGGTAAAAGCCAAGTGCAAAAAGTTCCTATTTTAGCAGCATCATGTAAAACGGTAAACTTTTGTACTACTTAAGATAATACCTCCACATCATGCTCACAGAAGCATGTCAGAAAACTTACACCACACATTGTGCTATACTTGTTCTACAGATACAGGACTTAACTCTCTTTGTCAAGATTTGCACTTTTTTTGCAGACAGATGAAGAATAAAATAATAACTTTGGATTTTTGGTTGTTCCTTACTTAACTACATACCTTTTTTTCTATATCCTGAAGCATGTAAGAAAATCAAAAAGTCAAATTAAATTTATTATACAATGGTGAACAGAAAGAATGCACAAAAATGCATGCGTGTCAGGCATTTCTGTAATTTAGAACAATGCAGAAAACTACTTGAAAGTTGGGTGTTTTTATGAAACATCACCAAAAACATCCCTGCTCTACCAAAAGCACACAGCCAAATTTTGATTCTACTTGGATGAAGCAAACCTTGCCCTCTGCCAAGCACCTCACCTTCAGTATAGTGCCACGGAGTGTCTGCTACAGCCCTGTCCACCACCATTTAAATCAGCCTTTACTCACTACAGAAACTAATTACAGGTTTTCCAAAGCTGATTACACTAAATATTCCACAGCCTAACTACCATGCTTTGCATTGATCGTGGGTTTGCTTCTGCTAGATAATCCCTGTATCACCTCTCAAACCTGCCTCTTGCTGTGGTTATAGAAACAGGTAAAAATGCATTGCAGGCTGTGCCTCCCCAAACCATTCTCTCCCAAATATCTAATACCTTACTTCAATGCATTATCATAGTTACCCACACACAAACCTTTTACGTATAACCACCTCGCGGTCCCTGAAATATTTGCGAACTCAAGAACATTCCTTTTGTGCAAGTGGAGTTAAATAGGCCAGTGACAAAGAAAATGTAAAATTAATGTTCCATAATGCTCCTGAGAACTCGGTTAAGTTTTGGTTCTTAGAATTCAATAGTGTTTCACATATCCTATCGATAACCTGAAACCGAGCAGCAAATCTGACTGTGGAAAGCCAGTAAGATATAATAAAACCCATGCAAGAGCATCACGACTTAATTCACTCGCTCCATTACTGACTATTCACAAGGGCAGAAATTTTCAGGGTGCAAAAACACAACAGGTCATGGGCACACTAATGACAGAGGAGATGAAACCCGTCCTCTCCTCCACGTCCAACTGAATTTAAATTCTTTTCATCTGTGTCTTGCTTGCTGATCAAATACCATTCAAAAGAGAAATGGATTCCTTTAACAGTATCTGATCACTGAATTTATACATATGAAAGACAATATGAGCAGGGGAATGCAAATAACATTTGTTCCAAAGATAGCCATATGAATGCAAGTTTTTGCCCTGGAAAGTTTGTTTTGCCCTGGAAAACAAATTGGGTTTGGTTTTGGGTTTGGTTCCCTGCCCCCCAAGATAATTAGTGATCAAAACAGACGGATTTTACTGCATTAAAGACATGGGGGCCAAGAAGTGAATTACAGTCACGCTGCTTATTGCCCTGATCCCATTAAAGCTTTTCTATCACTGATAAAGCAGAAATATTAGATTATAAGAATACTAAATAACACATTTATTCAAAGCTTTCGTTCCCTATATTGTGAAAGGCACTGGAAGATTTGGTTGGCCAGTAACCAACTCAGAAAGAAAAGCTTCTTCCATATAGCTACCAGCCCTGGCATTTATAGAGTAACGCAGACACAGCAGAGTTTAAAAAAAAAAAAAATTACTCATTTATACAGGAAACGATATAAATATGCCAAAAGAAGAGAATTCACTGCAGAAATAAAAACCTGTAAGGTAATATCATATTTATGGGGCCACAGCAACATGATCCCAGTGAATATCAATTAGCCGTAACAAAATAATTAAGAGTAGCCATGTATTCAATTAGCTGAATGCTGCGCTTTAGTTGTAAGTGAGATATTGGAACAGATTCATTGCTTCTTCATAAAGTAACTCTAATAAACAAAGCATTTGCTTGGGTGTTATTTAGAAAACAGCTTCAGAAGGTCACCTTTGAGAGGCAGCCCATCTTCCCAAGACTACCCAAAATTAAAATCCCCAAATAGATCAGTAATATTAAATACAGGTTCTTCAGGATCGCTAGGAAGTTGAACCAAGATTTAAAGGTCAACCTTGGTTTCATTTCCAAAAGTTGTGCCTGGATTCAGCACAGCACTGGTATGAGTTTCCACCGCCAGAAAAATGGACATCTACAAAAAAATTCCCCGTGCATCACCTCGTATACGGCTGCAGGGATACTTGCAGAGCAGTCCCGTGACGAAGCCGAACGCTTCTCATGCTGGATACAACAGATAGACGTTAATTTTGTCCTCTCTAGGGTAGAACAGAGCAAATAAGCAGCTGACTGAAAACGTATGTTTCATAATTATCTTCAAAAAATAAATAAAGGAATCCAGTTAGCTGGCTACAGCAAGGTTCGAGGTGTGTGCAGTCTGTAATTGCTATTCTTTAAGGAGTTGCAGGGGATAAACCATCATCAAGTAGTTCAGAATTTTGTAGGCAGATTTCAAAATCAGCTCTTGAAGCATTCGGCAGTCCCAGGTCTACAGCTGCACCTCGGTGTAGACTCTGAGCTCCAAATTCATTAACATCCACCAAGTTTATGGAAGAACACCCCTGAGATGGCTTCAGTTTGCATTTTTCTGGCAAAGAAGAATAATCTGTTTCAAAGTAAGAGTCCAGTTTTACACTAAATTTATAAAGCATCATCAGTCATCTGAAAGTGCTCTGCCTAGGTCTTGCCAAGCTGCTTGATGGCGAGTTCCTCATCACCCCACCAAGAACATCAGAGGCCGAGGCAAGTGGACAACCAAGGGAGGATGTCTCCCAAGCCACACTCAAGGCTGCGAGCGAGACCAGGCACTGGGTCCGGGGGCTGAAAGCCCTGTCACAGCCACAGGGGGCTTACGAGACTCAGGGGATTTGCCCAACGAAATGCTAACTACAGCATTGAGGGCTTTTCTCATGGGAAAGGTCACATGAAATATCTACAGGCCTTCAGGCGGGCCCGTGTGCTTTGAAGAAAAGGTTAACTGATTAACAAGCAAAAGAAAGCAGTGGCAGAGGGCTGGCCTTCAGCAGCTCCAGAAGCACGACCGTCTCACAGGAACACTGCTGGCAGGTCGGGATGAATGTGATGTGCCAGTACTGCAAGAGAGCAGATCTCAAAAAATGATGTTTCACCATTATGTTGCTGGAGATGTTCTGTTTGTTTTACAACCTGGGGTTGCTGGATGAGCATATCTGTAGGTTAAAGCAGGGCGTGAATTCATGAGCTCGTTGACACCAACATCACTCAGGCACAGGCTATGACTGCCACGTCGTGGAACAGTTATTCAGCTTTTGACATCCACTATATTGCTTTGCCCAGAAACCCTTTTGCAGTGGACTACATTCACCCATCACGTATAGCCCTGTGCATTTACATTTGCATGCTGATAAAATCCAAGATGAAAAAGGTTCGTAACTAGTATATATTATTACGGTCAGCAAAACCACAATCCTCATTCACTGCATACAGTGTCCCAATAAAAATTATTCTCGATTTCCACATTTAATATATGTTGGATTACAACAGTTTTCAATTTTAACCTTCTATTTCAACATATATACATGCATCATTCTGAATGGGCAATAGAAGTAAATTATGGATATTCTTAGGAACATATGCTTCTCCCTTCCCCACTGAAATAATTTCTTTTTGAAGCTATCACTATT